TGCGTCGTGTCGGGGCGGAAGCGGCGGCCAGAGCCAAGCAAGCAACCCCCGCGAGACACGCCGCCCCCGGCCGCCCCCCGCCCCCGCTCTCAAACACAGTCCGCGCGTGTCGTCTAATTAATTTCAAGAGGATGTGATTAATTTCAAGGCGGGGTGAGCGAGCGAGCGAGCGGCGCCACGCCGCCAGGCAAGCTTCTAGGTAATAAGCACGAGCAAGCGGTGGCGGTTGCGCCTGCGGATGTGTACCGCAGCAAGCAGCAGCAGCGGCAGCAGCAGCGGCAGCAGCAGCAGCGGCAGCGGCAGCAGCAGCAGCAGCGGCAGCAGCGGCAGCAGCAGCGGCAGCAGCAGCGGCAGCGGCAGCAGCAGCAGCAGCGGCAGCAGCGGCAGCAGCAGCGGCAGCAGCAGCAGGCAGCGCGAGCACCAGCTGGCGTGAGCTAGATGAGCCCCCCTCCGGTCTCTACAGTGTCCCGGCGGCGCCGCCAGCGCGATGTCCTCAGGGAGGCAGCCTCAGCGCGCCCACCTCCGTCCTGCTGCTGCTGCTGCTGCTACAGCCGCTCCTCCCTCAACCCCCCTCGTCGCCCCCTTTGCGTCCGGGGAGCCCACTCACTCTGCGCCGGTCCGAGGGACCTTACCTCAAGCTACAATTAGAGCCCCCCGGAATGGGACCCATTTCCGGGCGAGAGTAAGGGAGGACGCAGAGGGAGAGAGATGGAGAGGGACGGAGAGAGGAAGAGAGAGAGAGACAGAGAAAGAGAGAGAGCCGAGGGCGAGAGAAAAGAGGCGGCGGGGCGAGGGTCGGGCCCTACGGACCCAACGCGCCCCCAGAGCTGCCCTCCGTAAAATAACCCAAAATGGCAAGGACAATGAGCGATGCAGTTCGCAACCACCACCCCCAGGACACACGGCGCAAAGAGCGGGGGCGAGCGAGGAGCCACCATAATTATCCACCACTGACCGCCCACCCACCGGCATAACGTTGTGGGTGAATGTCGCACACTTGTACGTGTGTTAACGCCCATTCGTAAACAACGTTGAGGCTAAAGTGTGAATTTCAAAGGAAAATTCAACACACTCCTTCAAGTGTACGACATTTACACACTCGCGTTTCCGCTTCAAGGACCTTGTGAAGTGGTGAACGACGCACTACCCGACGATGCTCTTGTGGATATGACGTCCAGGGTCGCGCTTCTATTTAAGAGTTGGCTTTATTAACTTGGAAAACTTCGTCCCTCCCAGAAATTATGAGTGTCTGTTTTAGTTCACAGTTATTATTGACAAATTGCTGTCGTTTTCCCGTGTTGGTTTTGAATGTTTTTCTTGGCTGTCGGCCTGCTTATTGTTGCCCACACCCTAGGGACACACTCCCCGGGGCACGGGGCTGCCGGCCTCGTTGTCTCCCTCCCGAGTGTCCCTCGCGCCCTCGAGGAGGCCGCCGGTCCCCCTCGGGGTCCCTCGCCCCGCCGCACCGGCAGAAGGCCTGCTCGCCTCGCCGCTGACCGAGATGTGCTGCTGCTGCTGACGCAGGGGCACTCCGTGCTAATCCTATTGGAGGGCAGGTCGGCCCAGGCCGCCCGGGGTCCGAGGCCGACGCAGAGCGGGCGACGGCGGGGCCGACGTGTACGGGGAGGGGATTTAGCCCCTCCCACCCCCCTCCCGTCTCCGGTTGTCGAAACAAAGGGCGCCCCCTCGCCGTCGCGACGCTCTTACCAACTCGTCGAAATTAGATGTCGGTCCCTCGCCTCCGACCTTCCTCCCTCGTCTCTCCGCTGCTGCACCTTTCATCTCCCTCCCCCTGTCTTTACCTTCCTTCTCTCTCTCTCTCCACCCCCCTCCCTGTGACTAAGACCCAACCCAAAGTTGGCGGGGTTCTCGCCGGGTTGGTTCGAGCCACGCCACGCCGAGGCAGCGCGCGCGCGAACGAAACGCGACGAACGCCAAGGGATGAGATGAATCTCTAATAAAGTTTACCAAAAACTTAAAAAGTGAAACCGAATTATGGTTGCCTTCCACAAGAAGAATGGCGTGAGGAGGGTGGTTGGGGAGCGCGTGGTGCGGCAGAGTGAAGGGGAGAACGGGTAGAGGTGGGGTGGGAGAGAATAGGGGTTGGGGGGATGGTGGGATCATCAGTGTCGGGTCCACCAAATGAGGACCGACGGAGTGAATCCCAGAGTGAATTACAGACGAAGGACCCCGGCGTCTTTGTAATCATGGAGATGGTCCGCACCACGTGAAGTAACGGCGCGGTCCCCGCCCGGGCGCGCCCCCACGCCGCCCCCGCCCCGACCCAAATCCGATTGAGCGGCGACGGCGAGGAGGACTCGACTCGAAGGGGCCGTCCGTTTTCTACGTTGCTGCACACCACTGCCGCGTCCCGTCTTCATCGCACATTATCTTCGCTCACTATTATACCATGTGCATGCAGTACGTCCGTTTGTGCGTTATTGTTATTAAATTACAAAAGACCACCTTATGAAGTTGTTTTCCAACCGTTATTTTTATAAATATTTTGACGAGCAAGGGCAACGTGGCCGATTCCAACTCTAATAACTACAAGTCAAAGTGTATTAATGTCAAAAAATTTGGTGAGTTAATTTATATTCTCACACTTGGACCAGCAAAAAAAAGTGTGAATTTTCCAGTAAAATGTGTACACTTTGTGTCCCAAGTGTACTAACGGATTCACACCCAAGCGTTCGAGATTGACCCACTTGGATTTCTAGGATGCGCGGTAGAGTAGTCGTGTGTTGTTAGTGCTCACCGGAGTACACCAGGATCCTCTTCCGCTTGGTGTAGTTGGCGTCCGGCAGCCGCAGCTCGCACTCCAGGATGGTGGGGTTCTCGATCTCGCTCTCAGGCATGAGCGTCCAGGCCGTGATGTCGAACACGCCCTGTCGGCTTACCGTGCTGACCGTCACGCCAGGGAGGCCGTGCGACCTACAGAGACGAAAAATAAAAATTGTATAGTAAAACTCAATTACAGAGATTAAACAGGGTGGTCCATAGACCCCTTCCTTTATTTTGCTTATGCTGTACCGCATGCAGGCGTGCGAACGGGCTTGCCTACCGTCGCTCCGCACGGCCCCTTGTGGCCCCGTGTGAGTATGCAACCCGCCCGCACGCCTGCATGCGGTACAGTATAAGCAAAATAAAGGAAGGAGTCTATGGACCACCCTGTATTGTGAAAGTTTTTACTACTCGTCACTTTTCACCAAATCCGCATTATGTTAGTTTGCCTGATCAGACTTAAATAAATTCGTTTTGTAACCATCCATAACTTTTGCATAAAGTATCTTTTTTCGAGAGGATAATATCTGACACACCTCCTAGTTTGTGTGAAGCAGAGCAGACTACAGACTGTAAAATTCTACAATTTTCTTTTCGGTATGAGACGCTGTGCGCATTTCTGCACAATACCAAGGGCAGGTGCACCGAAGACAACAGATCATCCAGAAATTACGTCCGTTTTTCTGAGATTCATATGGGAAATCACGGGAGTTCGGCGCCTGCGAGACTCGGGTTAGGCCAACCCGCAGTGCATGCATGCATTGCAGGCAAGACGGTGCCTACCCACCAGGCGCTACATGTCAGCTTTTCATGTTGAACTTGGCCCAGGGGGACAATGACGGACGTGCCTTATTACGCGAAAGTTGTAATCCACTCATCATCTATTTCGCTCCCTGTTACATTTATGTAACAATCGATTAACAAATACATTTATTTGACGTAGCATATGGATATCCGGCTGATCCCCTCTCGTTCACACACGACTCACGTGTTTCCAGTGCACGTGTTCCCCTTCCCCCCCCCCTCTCTCTCTCTCTCTCTCTCTCTCTCTCTCTCTCTCTCTCTCTCTCTCTCCCTCCCTCACGTGTTCCCAGTGCACGTGTCTCCCCTCTCGCTCGCTCTCTCCGCCCCATTACTCTCACTGCCGCCGCTTCCCTGTCGTGCCGCACCTGTTCAGAGCCATACCATTAGGCCTGGCTGCCCTGTCCTGCTCCGTCTCTCTCTCTCTCTCTCTCTCTCTCTCTCCTCCTTCGCTCTCTATCTGTCTGCCCCTCCGATTTGCTGTGCACATCGAGAGCGAGACAAAGACAGCCCAGGCCCAGCTCGGCCGCTCTCCCCACCGTCTGCTACAAACAACAGACAGACAGACATAACAGACGGAGCGGCAGCAGTCTAGCGAAGCAGGATTTAGTGGAGCGTCCGGCGTTAACTGGACTGCAGCAGAAGCGCAGCTGCTGTGCTGCGCGCAGCTGTTGCACTCAGCCCCTCACTGCTGCAACCTATCAAGCCAGACATCCAGCCTGACGCCCTACGGAAGCCTCTCGGCCGCTAGCCCCGCCACACCCCACCCCACCCCCGCCCCGCCCCCGGCAGAGGCCTGGTCCTGGTCTGTGGTTGTCAACAGCCCCCACGCCCAGCCGTGGCCTATCGCGGCCCGGCCTGCGGCCCTCCTGTTCGTCCCGCCCAGCCGTGAAACGGCCAGCGATACTCGTAAACCCGCCACGCGCTCCGCCACACCCCGCCAGTCGTCGCCCCACCGCACCGCCCGGTACGCACATGGGTGTGAATCAACTACTCCCGCATAGGGGATATATACACGAATGGCCCGGGGGGGAAAGCAAGGCGCCAAAGTTGGCGCGCGCGCGCGCCGGAGGGAACGGAAACAAGGGAAGTGTGCGGTGGAAATTTAACTCCGGCTCGTGTAGAGTGCACGGCCAAGCCCCAACCCCCGCGCGAGCAACAACATTAGTGATGAGTGACGCGCGTTCAAAAGTATAGCTCTGTGCGACCAGCATACCAGAGAACGTTATTAGTTTCTGTGGGGGCGTCGAAGTAATATTTTAAATCTACTATATCTAATTTTGTGATCAGATTATTCAAGGGAAAATAAATATGCATACACCGAAAAAACAAGTTTGTGAATGTCGCAAACTTGTAGGTGTGAACACCATTCATTCGTACACATGAACGACAAGTGTATGAATTTTCAATTCTCATACCTTTACCCCCATAAGTGCACAAATAGGCATTCACCCACCTTCAAGTGTGGTGCGATACTCACACGCAGTAACGAGCATGCAATTGTCGGTTACTCACTTGCCGGCGGCCCCCGAGGGCGCGGGGTCCCGGTACAGGTTCATGCGGGGCTCGGGGAAGACGCCGTGCGCCCGGCACGTCACGTTCACGTGGTCGGGCGGGTTCGTCTTGCTCTTGATGACCTCGAAGCCCTTCTCCGGAACTGCAACAAAAAGGGGGAAAACAACACTGAAAACAACCATTCGAAAGAGCGCGCCGCAGCAGCGAGAGCCTCGGTCGTTTGAGTGCGTGAGCGCCTTAGTGGTGAAGCCGAGGAGGGGCAGACGGCGGCGGGGGCGGCCGGCCGGCAAGTTCCGCGGCCCCAAAGGTGTTTATTAGTTTGTCGCCCTGGCCGGCCCCGGCTCCCCCACTTGGTCACGGTATAACCGCTGGACTGTTCCCCAATTAGGATCTCCGGATTATGCGGTCGCTTGCTTTGGGGTCTCGGCCTCCAGAACTGAGGTTTGACTCAAGGTGCTAACCAGAAAGAGGGGGTGGGGCGGTGGGGGAGGGGCATAACCTCTGGCACAGCAGCGGAGAGGGTCCCACCGCTCAAACTTGCCGCGCGCGCTCCCAACCGTACCGTGGCGGCGTGGCGGCGGGGCTGCCCCCGGTCTGCACCGCCAGCCCCGCCTCCGCCGCCCCCGCGAACAGACGTCAAACAAATGCCGAGCGGCCAGAGCGGACGCGGGCTCCGACGGGTCTTGCGATCAGGTGAAACCGCAGAAACTTGTGAATTATTATGGTGAGGGGGGAGAGGCAAGAAAGAGAGGGAGAGAGAGAGAGGTAAGGAGAGAAGAGGGTGAGGGATGGACGAAGAGGGTCAAGCGAAGGAAGCCAATTGAATCCTCCTAGCTCCTGCGCCAGTTCGGCTGCTCGACTTATTTTCGCCCGGAATCCGAATTATCTGGCCATCTATCTATCTCAGGCGGCGCGGCAACGCCTCCTTGCGCAGGGGCGAGAGAGGGAGTGAGAGGGGGGGGGGGGGGCAGCGTGCTGCTCGCGTTCCTGTCGAGGGGCCTGGTTAGCAGGTGTGAGAGGGGGGGGGAGAGGAGTGTGGGATGGCTCAAAGAGACAGGCCGACGGCGACAGAGAAACAAATTTGCCCCCGGCAGCCATTCGGTAACCACTTTATCGTTGGGCGCCCCACCACGCCCCGCCCCGCCCTGGCCACGCCTTGTCCCCGTGTCCGCCCGGCTGCTGCAGCACTGCGAGGGCTGATCCGGGAGCAGCAAAAAAGGGAGGATGGGTGGTGTAGGAGAAGAGCCGCGCCACGCCGACAGAGTGAGGGAGAGGGAGCGAGAGAGAGAGAGAGAGAGACAGACAGACAGACAGAGAGAGACAGAGAGAGACAGAGAGAGAGAGGAATTGATCTACGAACGAGCCAGAGAGAGAGACAGAGAGATAAAACGATACAGCGGGCGGCAGTGATAAGGCGGGGAGGAGCAGAGCATTTAGCCCCGCAAATTGGGCAACGCATTTCGGTCCTGCCGGACCGTGCCACGCCACGCCACGCCACGCCCCGCCACGCTACGCCACGCCACGCCACGCCACGCCCCGCCACGCCACGCCACGCCACGCCGGCTTAGCCCGACCCGCCAATTATCCATTGTTTCTCTGTGTTCGGCTTCCCGCACAGAGGGTCCTGGGGGTCCTGAAGGAAGGATGCCGAAGTCAAAGTGCAACAGCCGGTGCTGGCGAGTGATGCCCGTGTTTGTTTAACAAATACCACTCTGCTGGACAAATAAAGGAAGGCCTTACTACAGGTTCACTTGCAGGTCCCCTACAGCATGTGACGATAAGCGCCCGAAGGCACTTGGGTGAAGTGCCTGAAAGCAAGATTATTTCACACTTTTTGACCATTTTTCAAGAGTCAGAAAATAAGTAAAATCCTTTTTCCTTTTAGATAAAAAGGGGTTTATTCGGGTGAGACAAAAGTCGTCAAAAAATTGTACAAATTTTACAAGAAGGTTTACAATTTAACCAATATTTTGCTGTTCTCTTTTTCGAGTAGCGTCGCGTGCCCTTTTGGGGAGCGTAACCGCGCGCAAGAGCTACGCGCAGGTAAACGCACCCTGTGACTGAGAAGAGGGAGCGGGTTAAGGGCGGTGCGCGCAGCGGCGCGGCGAGGGGTGCGGAGTGGGAGGTCGGGGGTAACCAACCCCCCCAGTTGGCTCCTCTGGGGGCAGTCGGGCAAAAGGGCGACAGCAGAAATGGGTGAACCTCTCTCCCCGGTTGACATTCCACAGGATGTGTGCCCCCAGCCCTGCTGCGAGTGCGCCCGCTGCTCTACTGAGGCTCCACTATCGGGGGAAGGGGATCTCGTTCCCTCTGTCCTCTTCGGATCCCCGCGCGCTCTTTGGTCACGAGCCAAAAGGGGAACCCTCCGTCCCGTCCCACCCCGCCCCTCCTGCAGCCCCCTTGCACCACACCAAAGTGAAGGCACACCTTTCCTACCACCCGCCTCCTACCCTCTCACGCGCGCGCGAGACCGCAACCGTCTGAACCTATAAATACACCCTTAAAAAAAAAACTGGAATTTAATTGTGTGCATGAGTGTGTGTGTGTGTGTGTGTGCGGCCCGAGAGCTGTCATCCAGTCACTGTGGGGGCGGCGCGGGCCGCGGGGGCAGTCTCTCGGCCACGGCCATAATGGACGCGAACGGATTGGAACGGGCGGTGCGGGGG